ACGATCATACCTCGTTTTCGACCGACGAAGAACTACCTGCACGCGCCTGGAAGAGTAAACGATTCGTTCTCAAGACGATGGTTTTTAGCTGCCCTCGCACGGCCAAGGTAATTCTCTATAATATTATACTTTTTAAATATAAAAACCTCTAACATTTAATTTTTAATTTTAGGTACGATCCTCACCGAAAGCAGCGTTGGGTTGGCAAAGTTGGTATATGGTCTTTCACGGAACAGTACGAGGCGAAACGTCGAAGCAAAAATAGAGACAAAGGAACTATTTGCACTCGTAATATCGATACGGTCTGTCGGGAAGTGTACAAGGATTATCTTCTGACAAAAGTATTTCCAGCGATCAAAGCAAATTGGCCAAGGAAGGATCGGAATGAAATCATATTCGTACAACAAGACAATGCAAAGCCGCACGTAGCGCCAACAGACCCGGATGTAATGAAGGCCGGAACTTAAGGAGGATGGAACATCAAGCTACTATGTCAGCCCCCCAACTCGCCTGACCTCAACTGTTTAGACCTGGGTCTGTTCGCCTCCATGCAAAGTATTCAGTATCGAATACCAAGAAAGGGTATCAACGCTCTCATAGCGTCGGTGGTGGACGCGTTTCGGCAGCTGGAGACTGACACGGTAAATGATATTTTTTTGACCTTACAGGCAGGAGCTTTTACGAGAAGGAGGAGGCAACCTGTACAAACTACCGCACTTGGGGAAAGCCAAGCTCCGGAGGGCGAAACAACTTCCTGTTAGTTTGTCATGTAGCAAAGAGCTGTATGAGTCTGCTGTCGCGTTACTTAAGTCTTCAAACCGTGGCAGTGCACTGCTATTCAATTTAACATCATCATAAATGACAGTTAATGTGATCTATAACTTTATATAAATCGTAAAATAAGCTCTTAGCGGGTAACAGCACTATTAACCTATCATACTTACTTCGCGTGATCATTTCCGACCAGAGGAAGTAGTCCTTAAACTCGATTCTCACTGAGACCCACGGTTTACAACATTTTTTGGAAGCCGTAGAAAAGAAAAACTCAAAAACTGCTTTTTTTTACGAACTCTCGTCAATCACATAGTTACCAGGAGTGTCGAAGCGGAATTCGTTGACCTCTTCCTGCTTAAGACGGTAGCCGCGCATGGCATCGACCGGATCGCCATCAGCCAGCACAGCCTCGTACTCAACACCAGCGTTCTTTACAGAGAGCGATTTCACCTTCACTTTAGCTCCGGGACAAGCCACAATACGCACCGCGCCATCAAGATCAAGAGCATCAAACGTGACTTCTACACCCTCTACGATCAGTGTAGAGCGAGCGGTGATGCTGATAGCAGACGGGTTGATAAACTTCTTCGCCAACGTCGTCTGACTAAGTGCGAAACCCGATCCAAAGACGATCTGCGGACCGGAGCAGTCTACGGGAATGTCCAGCCACGACTTGAGCTTGATTTCCTTCGGCATCGTCACCCCCAAAGTCTTGAGTTTCAAGCGGTTAATGGCAAATATCTCGTGCTCCGCAGAGCTGGCACATTGCGGGGGGACGTCGTTTTTCACCTTCTCACTTGCACTAGCAGCGTCGTTTTTGCATGGAGAATACACCACAGACGAAGGGAATTGCACCAGACCAACACCTTGGTCACTGTCACTGTGTTCGATCTGGTACTGTACCAGAAGTTTGGGATAATCTTGCATCATGCACTCGAGACGAGCAGGTGACTTGAAGGCGCACTTTGTACCGGACCGGAACTTTGGGTTGAATACTTCGGGCACAAACCCCTCGGACGTCTCCAGTACAGACACGTACGAGTCCAGAGCAGCGACGATACCGTTGATATTACCTGGAAACGGAGAGAACCCAGTCTTTGGGTCGTTGATATCGCCATCAGGGTATTCCGTCGTGGCTCGTGTGCGTAGGAACTGGTCCAGCTCGTGGTATTCAACGTTAAATAACGTCGAGTGGTTATTTGAGGGCGACGTAAAGCGTACGATCCCGCCTGACGCGTCTTTGGCCTTACGAGGTACAGTCGTGAATGCGAAGCCCCAGTTGTGCTTCACACAAGCTCCGAGTATGGGTAGGACACCATTTAAGATGAGATAGTTGGTGTCCTGGATAAAGTGCACGTATTTTTTGCCTTGTTGTTGCCACTTGGCGGCCAATCCAGACGTGTGAAGGAGCGTATGCACGTCGCCATGTCCGTGGGGTTTCATCACGAGCAGTTCGTCGTGGACAGCGAGCTTGAGTTTAGGCTCCGAGCCCTCGATCACATCCACACAGGGCACTTTTTCCTGTTTCATGAGGGTAAGTTGGTTCTCAGACATGCCAAAGTTCTTGTGCTCTTTCAAAAAAATTTGTGTGGCTTCGTGTGTCGAGTCGGACGTCATAATTGCCAAAGGAATTTGAACTGACGTCTTGCTTTGAGTATTGGCAAGCGTTTGCATGGCTAGCAAGTGTTGCACATAGGCCTCGAGGTAACTGGTGTGAGTCAGGGTCTCAACTGGAAGACGCAGTTTGATGTCTTGAAAGCCGAGACGTTCGCCAAGCCCTCCGGCTACGATGACGAAGCAGCAGTTGTCCAAGTTGTCGAGACCCTTTCTCTCCAATTCGGCGAACAACGGGGTGTCTAGTTCCGCCAATTCGGACGATGGCGAAGGGTTTGACGGATGCCAATCAGCCCACACATCGCTGGATTTGTTGTCTTCCGTTGTCTCGCCACGTAGCTCTGCGTAGAGTTTGGTGGCGGTGGATAGATATCCATCTACGCCGCCCTTGTACCAGTTGTCGAAGTGCGCCAGTTGTTGATACAGCGGACTGTCAGGCTTGTCGGCCAGCAGTGTGAGCAGCTCCTGCTGATCCCAGGCTTGAAGTGCATCGAGGACGCGGTTGCGTGCGTCCTGCGCAGATGAGGGAACAGCCTGTTGGCTCGTGGTGTCGATGAACTCCGTGTTGCCCATGGCAAATTGCGTTCTGAAGAAAAAAGCTTTTGACAAAACTGTTGCGAGTGCGGACATAGGAGAGTGATAAGCGAGGGGATTGAAAAAGATCTGAGGATTGTGATTGAAGTTGAGCTCCATAGACAACTCCGAGCGCACCCTAAGCTTTGTTGTCTATGACGGTGAGGCGATTGAGCTGGTCGTTGAAGATTCACCTTCCTTGCTCGTCGAGCAAGCCATGTACATGCACTCATAACGTTTACGTCGGTGAGGATACAAGCAGGCATAAGATGTGGCCGTGGTCAATTGTTTCTACAGTACCGCCTTGAACCTCGACTGACAATGCAACTTCAGTTTATTTGTCAACACTCTCGCCCACCAAGCAGACTCACCACGTTCGATTGATTGCAAACGCCACTTCCATGGCACGGTTGCATTCATGGCAGCTGTGGCAGCAAACGGCAATTAGCAATTTGCGAGCTGCAAACAGAAGTGCACTGCTATTGCAACTGTTGCTTCCGTGTTTTAACCCGGCTCTTTAATATTTAACTTATGGCGAATGCAACCAACTGCTGTTGCCAATTCTACGAGCTCACAAGATAAAATACGTTGCGTTTCTCCAATACATAATAGATTTCCTTACCATTCTACCTAGACTTCCAGCCCAGTATTTAGTGGTCCGAGCCATCCGACCATTGCCTTGCCAGTTTCTCTCGAGCTTTAGTGCGCACTCCAGTGCTAGTCGGGAACTCCAAATCGCTTGGTGCGCGTGAAAGTGGCGTCATGGGGTCGATCAATATCGAGCGAGGCGGCACCGCAGTCGTTGACGGCGGCGCCGACGGCTGCGCAGAAGACGAGCGAGTGCTTTGACTCGACATACTCGTAGTGTGACCTCCGAAGCCCACAAGACGCTTGATATCGATCCGGAACGGCTCCGTTGACGCAGTTTTCTTGTCACTTTCAGGTCCGTCTTCACTGCCGCTATTAGGAGGGAACAGCTCCAGCTCATGTTCACGCAAAAGCGCTTTAAACTTGTTCTCCCGAGAGCTCATGACGTTCTTAATCCAGCTAGGCACATGAGGGATCCGCTGCATCCCCACGTACGCAACTGTCACGAATAAATGCTCCAGCAGCAGAATAAACAGCAAACGCCAGGCGATATGCAGACAGCCGAAGTTCGGCCCAAAGACGAAATCGTCCAACGTTTTCCCTTGCTTCTCCAGCTGATGCTCAATGTCAGCCACACATGTTTCATCGAAGAACTCGAGCACTCCAGTCGAGATGCAGATCAGCAATACGTTGACTATCACGGCGATGTACGCGTACGTTGTGAGGATGCCTTTCCACGCACCAATACCATTCGCTCGTCGAGGGATGGGACGCTTCAGTGTCTTACACAGACGATAGCCATCTGTACGGCCCTTGACGCTGTTGATCAAGAAACACGCGAATGGCATTAGCGGCCACAGCATGGAGAACATAACTGTGAATCCAAACTGCACTGTCAGCACGTGGAAATCATCGTACGGGTCGTACGTGTCTTGCGCGCTGTCGAACAGAATCTCACGCGCCTTCTTGTTCAGCACCTCGATCTCGGACGGAGTGTACTCCAGATACCGTGAGCTCGACTTGTTGCCAAACTGCGATTCCTTCTGGTTCTCGTAGTCCAATGAGCCCAAAATCTTCATGGAGCCAGCTGCACGAACGCGCTCTTGTGCTTGAGCATCCGCATGAGCTTGGGCCTTCTCCCGACGGTTCCGCACCAGTATAGGGGCCACTAATCTCAGTAATATATTCAGCGACTGCGTGATCACGATCGGGGTGACGAACATGGCGCTCAAGTCCACATGCCGACGATCAAATGTGAAGAACCCGACACATTCGATACACGTCGCGTCCTTGTCCCCCACAGGACACATGACACACGAGCCGTCTTGATCCACATAAGGTCCAAAGCAGCAGTTCATGTCGTCGCCAAAGAACATGTGGTTGAACGTGTTCGTCAAGTAATTGCCCAGTCCAGGGATCACAAAGATGAACGCGAGCGAGAAGAACCACGTGTAGTAGTTCAGGAAATCCAGCAAGAACAGCTTGCGGATCAACGCCTTCTCGTACTGTTCCTCCGTCCGGTAATTCTCCCAATGGGTGAACAGCGCACCCATCTTAGTGACCACCATATTCCACTGCACAACGTCCACGAAGAACCCAAACACGATGCCCTCCAGTAAGAAAAGTAGCCATTGTGTCGAGAAGATATAACTCTCCTTGTACGTAGCCTCAAGA